GTAACGTAGACAATAACGTGTAAGAATGTGCATCTTCCTCCTTAGTCTACCCCTCTATTTTAGTGTATCTCTGTCTGCCTGTCTGCCTGTCTGCTCGTTTAAGTTTGTGTGCATGGCATTGCCTATTACCTTCTTATGTCCTTTCAGACAGACTCCTTAATTGCTGTGCCATGGAAATGGGCACGAATGTGCATGTGTATGTGGATGCGCATGCGTGAGTGCGCGTGTACACTGATCTCATGTACTCCACCTCCTTTCACTTCAAAACTGACCATCTAGTCCACCAGACACTTCCATTCTGGGCTAAGTGATATCTTCTTTGACCGCTCGTTTGTTGGCTGGTTCGTTGTCCACTTATTTGATTTCACCTTTTCACTTCGTCAACACTCCATGTCTCATCCGCAAACCCATTCACCCACCCAGCCACACACTCACCCGTCAACCCACTCACACATTTGCTCATTTCTCTTACCTCGTTGCTTTTATCTCTCCTTCAGTTGGAAGTGGATAACTCGTGGTGGGAGCAGAAATGTCCCCAAAGGCCGATCAGACATTCGATTCAAGGAACAACTTCGGGGAAGGAGAAGTCAAAGACTGGTGGACTGCTGCACAGTAGGTGAAGTGGGTGGCATGAATGGGTTGGAGGAATTGGTCACTCACCCCTAAACATTGCTACGCAGCTAGCGAACGTGAGTTCCTGATGAGTGTTCCCAATCCTGTCTCTTGGTGAGTCTTCGCCTCTGACCAGGGAGAACATTGGTGGTGATTGAACCCTTCTGATGGAGGCGAAGTACAATAACTGTGTAGCTGAAGGAGAAGAAGGAGAGAAGGGGTTGCGGAAGAGAAGGGGAGAGATAGGGTGAGGTAAGCCTACTGAATCGAGCATGAAACAGTGGACTTAGTTGAAGGGTGTATGCATTTCTACCAAAGGTCGAAGTTGAATATCTGTGCACGGTGCCGTCTACAACGTCATTTGCTTTCTTCGCCTTCCCTTTATTTGCCGATTTATTCATCTACCTACCTTTTAACGTAATTACCTACCTACGTAGCCATACAAATGAATGAAATATGAAACGATTGACTTAGCTGGGGGAAATATGCATGTCTTCCAAACGATATGCCTGACTCGTGTCACATCCATCAGGCTTAAACGGCACTTTATGATGCGAGGGTGGATGTAAGGAAAAACTAGTAGAGAGCATAACGGATAGGTTTCCACCAATAGACTGGCGACATGTCTATCTTGCGTACCTTACAAGTCCCTACAAGCACCAAATAACCATTACATCTGTCCACACAGGGAAAAGCAGGCTATGTTAGATATGGCAGAAATTGGTTCTTCTTCACACACCCCCAGATGAGTGTGATACTAGCGGCATGTAAATCTTCAATGCTCTCGAATCGCATCATCATTCGTT